CATTAGTATAAAAGCATAAGTCACAAACATATTCATCATGTAAATCATTATAAAATAATAGAACCATCTCATAAGTAACCCTAAGTCATTCTTATTCATTGTATAGATAAAGATCTCATAATTCCATCTATACTAAGTACCACTTTCAGGCCAATATAATCATACTTACCATTTTTTGTTCTCATCTTTAGTTAATACTCATAGAAAAGGAACATTCACATTTAATAAGTCATGTCAAGGAAAGCAATTCATAGCAACAATCCAAGTTAAGCATTCATCATTTCATAAGTCATTATACATTGAGGAACACACCATAACTACTCTCAAAGCCTACTTATGCAATGCATGGATGAAGTCCCATATCCCCACCCACACTTTATAGAGCTTCTTGAGTAACTATAGTACATAACTCATATTCTTGTTCATGGTGGGAATAAGCCTTAACCGACAAAGACCATGTGAGCAAATCATGGAATCCGGTGTCATGTCCCACACCGAAAAGATTAGGTCTACTTGCCTAAGGTAGCACCGATAACATTTTAGCTTAAGTGGATCCACTAGCTAATAACCTATGTAGGCATATAGTTATGGGATAATGAGGTTGTTACTAGAAACCTGGCCATACATAGGGAGAGCTTCCACCTCATAATATCCACTCGGTGCTAAGCATTAAATTCCCATCGAGTAGTTAATCCTCTTTTAACATTATTACACACGAAAGGGATGCCATTAGCCTACCGGTTCAAGGTACATTGTTACACATGAAAGGGATGTCATTAGCCTATCGATTCAAGATACATCATTACACATGAAAGGGATTCCATTAGCCTACCGATTCAAGGTACATCATTACACATGAAAGGAATGCCATTAGCATACCGATTCAAGGTACATCATTAGAATATATCATTGAATCCTCATGAAATGGGTGCCATTGGTCTACCGATTCAAGGTTCATCACTATAATAGTTCATTGACTCATCATGAAAGGGGTACCATTGATCTACCGATTCAACACAAAGCCTTAGAATACTTCATTCGACACCATGAAAGGGATGCCATTGGCCTACAGATTCAAAGTTCATTAAGTCAAGATAACTTTTCAGTACACATTAAAAGGATTCTCTTAGTCTAATGATTCAAGGTATATCAATCAATATTACTTTTATTCACACATGAAAGGGAAGTCATTAGCCTACCGATTAATTTAGGTGAGGAAAGCCTTTCACATCATGTCATCATCATTCATAAGTGTATAATTGATAATAGCCTTTCAACAATACCACAATTACATGATAGTCATAATCACATTACTTTCAAATTATTCATAAAGCATGTACATAAACATCTTGATCATACAAAATTCTCATAATTTGCCCTTCAAGGACCATGGATCACATTCAATCAACACACCTAGAATTACTACATTAGGCATGGATAATAACATAATTCAAGTCATAAAGTCACAACATTCGTAATTTTATAGCATTCTACAATCATCAATAAATACCCACACTTTAAGATCCAATTTGGGAAAATAGGGTAATTCATGGATTCTTGAGTAATTCAACTTAAAATCATATAAAATCACCAAATATATCCATAATTAAATCATTTAAAATGAATTTGAAAGGAATCCATGAGATTGAAGTCAAACCCTAACTTTTGGGTTTTCTAGTTTTGAAATTGGGGGTTTTGGAGGGGCTCTATGGGTGAAGGCTACCCATAGATGAAAACCTAACATACCTTATTGAAGAATCACCATTAAATTTAGGATAAAATCTTGATTCTTCAACCCTAGCTTCACCTTTCTTCTTCTTCTTCCTTGGAAATCTAGAGAGAGTTTATTTAAGAAAAAGTTGGTTATGAATTTTGGGTTTTTGGATTTATGAGGTGTATGGGTTAGTTAATGACTTAAAAACTCTTATATAGGTCTATTAAAACAATATAAAACAACTTGGAATAACCTAAACTACCCTTACACTAGCCAATTTGGGACAGTGTTATAGGCCCCCACTCACGACCCACACCTACGGACCGTGGGTGGGACCACGGCCTATCCTGGCTGGGCGTGGTTCATGCTCTCTGGCCTGTTGGGAGGAGACTTCAGCTATGTATCTCACCCACGAGGCGTGGATGGACCTACGCCTCGTAGGTCCCATCTGTGGTTCACCTCTTGGGGCAGTTTTGGGGTTAAGCTTTAGGGTCCTTCTCAAGGGCCCTTGGTTGGTTCTTGGGGAGTTGTACCTTGGCGTTTAGCCCCTAAACCCCTCATCCTAAGTACGGGAAGCTATTTTACGATTCTAAGCCACACATCAAACTCTAAAACTCTCACGTAAGGCTCTAGTTTCACCTACTAGTTTCCGGGCTGTTACATTGGAGTAGGAGCAATTAAAGTTGCTTGTATTCTTGGGCCTCTTAGCCAAATCCTTGGCATGCACGTTCCATCAAACTCCTTCTACCTTATTCACAAAGTTTGTCATTTCATTAAAGCTTTTACTTGCAAAGGTCATGTGAACAGACAATATCTGCAACTTAAGATTCAATCCCTTGACGAACAATGGATCCACTCTTCATCTGTAGTCACCAACTGCATAGCATATCTGGACAAGGCATGGAACATAGCGTCATAATTAGCTACAATCATACCACGTTGCTCCAAATCCATGAGCACATCCTTCTTGCGGTCCCTCAAAGTTCGGGGCACATACTTCTCAAGAGTAAGGAATTGAACTGAACCCCGATGAGTGGAGCCAAGACTGGCGATCGGCATTCTACAAAGGCTCTTCACCACTGCTTAGCCTCACCTTGAAGTTGAAAGGTCACGAACTCAAATCCATGTTGGTGCACAATGCCTAACTTGCGAAGTCTCTCATAGCAATCTAGGATGAACTCATATGCATCCACACTTTCAGAATCATGGAACATTGGCGGCTTTAACTTCAAAAACTTGGTCTGCATCTCGTGTTGAGTGTCAGTCATCATAAGGCCTAAAAGTGGATGGAAGACGAAATCATAACCCAACACTCCACCCATCTTAGGGACTGTAGAAGCAACGGGGACGGATGACCGGAGTTTGAGCAGCTTGCACCATGGGAATGTCTCCATAGCCAACTAACCCACTAAGAAAAGTCAGTATTTGTTGAGCTATAGCTAGATCTAAAGGGGAAAGTCCTGCAGTCCCAACCCGTGCATCTTCATCTTCAACCTCAATCTCCACATTCTCTTCTACCTCGTCCTGGGGTGTGAGTAAGGCCTCTTCCCTAGGTACATTCTCAGCTTGGGCTTCATTCCTGGCGGGTGCTACCCTTCCTCGGCCTCTACCGATTCCTCTTATTATGGCCTCTCCTGTTGGCTCATTGATGGGAGCTACTGACCTGGCGCCATTTTTTTGCGTGTTAACCATCTGCGAACCGAAGAGTGAAAGAGGTTAGATACCAATATGGATCACCATATACCAATTGGAATCAAATATAGCACGAAAGGAGAAGAATAGATTTTCCTAAAGTCATGTAGCTTCTTCAAGAAAAATACAAACATCTATGTACCATTTTGCAAGACTATACTAGAATCATTTTGGTACAACGAGATCAACGAACCTGGGATTGGAACAACACTTGTGTTTATCGAGGCAAGTTGGTGAACTCCAAAAGCAATGGCAATTTTTCGAATAAGAAAGGCGACCTTGTTATCCATCACGGAAAGCAAAAGTAAAAGGAGAAAAATTGAAGGCTCGAAAGGCGAACTAAGGTGGTACTCGATGATACGACGAATGTGAAAGGCAGACTCAAACGAGCTCGCCGACTAAGGTTCAAACACTTGAGGCCTAGAGCAAGAGAATGTGAGCTGAAGCATTATTGACGATTTGTCAAATGAGCTCGGCGAACGTGGCTAACGTCACCCAAAGGGTAGCGTGTTGAGTTTTGGGGCCAACTTTGGAACACTATAAATAGTCAAAGGAGAGAAAAAAAAGAGATTTTTTCAAAGGAGAGCATTTGGGTGAGTTTTGAGAGTTGAGTAGCGAGAGAATCTACCTGAAAGAAATACTTTACCCTTGAAAGAACAGTTTATAGTTTTTGGGGTTTTTCAACATTGTTCTTGAAATTGAAAAATTAAAGTTGAATTCAAAATGGGTTTGCTTGTAATTGCTTAATTTCATGTTACCCATGGCTGCTTTCATGAAAGGTATACTTTCTTTGTTTTTGTGATGAGTGGCTAAAACCCTAAGATCTAGGGGTGCACTTATGGGGCTGGGTGTTGATTTAATGTAGTGTAATTGTGTTATGCTCTGTTTTGTTGTTGTTCATACATGAATTTGGTCTAATTAGCATGGCATTAATTTATGGGTTAAGGTTGCAAACTTAATTCCTACTTCTGATCTTTGTTCGATTCTCGAAAGAGATTGATTGGAGTGGGTACTTAGTTCGATACTAGAAATTTAAGTTTGATGTTTGTAACTTGTTTGAAAATAGAGGTTATGGGTCAGATCTATTTGCCTACTTTTGTATCGAATGAGAGAGTAGAGTAAGGTATTGGGATGTTGAGATTGGCATACATATGAGACCGAAAGGATATTCTATGCAAGGATGCTATGAGATCAAAAGAAGTTTAGCGTCATTGAAGATGACCTACTCTATTCATGAATGTTCATCACTATTGAGCAGCACAAATACCCATATGTGACATTGATTTCCAATCCTCGCGCTCCTAGATTACTTGTTAATTCTTATATTCTCTAAAATCTTAGTTTAATTATGATAGTTGATAACCAAATCCTTTTATTAAATTGGTGGAATTATCCATCCACTTGTTTTTACTACTAGAAATGAATGATTTTATAATCCAAAATTCTTGATAAAATTAATTATGATATACCATTCTCTGTGGGATTCGACCCAGACTCTTAGTTGGGTATTTTTATTGACTACGACCACTGACTCTTTTTATTAGTTTTAAAGAGTACATTTGAGCGTTATCTTCTAACTACCTCCATAAAATCATCATTTTCGGTCCAAAACTTCAGAAATCTAACTAGTTTGTTGAACTTTTGAGCAAGACTTCCAGTTACTAGTAAAAGGGGGGCATGATCTGATCCAGTTCTATCCAAATGCATAATTTCCAGATTACCAAGCATATCCTGCAGATCCTGATTTGGGACCACTCTATCAATTCTTTTAAATATACAATCCTTATCTGCTCTATCATTCCACCAGGTAAAAGGGATACCACATAAAGCAAAATCTTCATACTCATGTGGATAGACATGAAGGCAACCAATTTTCTCTTCTTCCACATAACAACATTGAAGTTTCCTCCAACCATCCAAGGTAGTGATTGATTGTATCCTATAGAATAAATATCATCCCACAACCTAAATCTCTCAACTGTTGTACATTTAGCATAGACTAGAGTGACCAAGAATGGATTCCCATTATTGAATGACAGATGTAGTGTTAATTGTTGTTCTGAATCTGAAACTACTCCCACATGAATCCCATCCCGAGTAAATAGCCAAATTTGACCATTGGAGTTGTAGTTGACATACTACATGCACATCCTTCTTTTGCATTTTTGAATCTTCTTAGTGTCTTGAAATGGTTCCATCAAGGAAATTAGGAAAAAATTGTGGTGTCTATGTAACATTTGAACTTTATGAAATGCATTTTGAGTTCTCACAATCCTTATATTCAAAAATAAAGCTTTTGATTCATTGAGAAACACTCTTCTCCCCCTCTTAGCCTGTATCCTTGTTGTCTTTGAGTCACTAGCCATTTTACCTTTCTTTTTGTTCCCTCTGGTCATTATCTGAGATAGCCAACTTCCTTACAAATATTGTTCTCCAGTTGCTCACTTTCTTCTTATTCAACATCTTCAATACTTGCCTCATTAAAATATTCCCTGGTTATGCTCCCTTGAATGGATGTCTTACCATTTTCTTGTAAAATTTGGTGTGAAATAATTGCATGTAAAGCTTCATTAGGTGCAAATCTTCTATTGCCCATTGTGATAGCCTGAACCTTAGCTAGAGCACTTGTTTTTTGCAGGTTGCTCTCCTTCTCATTTGACTTCACCCATACCTATTTGAAGTATATTTGTAGGAGGAGATCTCCTTCCACTGGAACCACTTTTTGGAGGGGCTCTTGATAGGTAGCGTATCTCAAATCTGGTTCATGTTGTTGGTATGCCACAATCTCTTTTCTATGTGTTCTCATCGTCTGTATGCACCTCTTCTTTTTTCTTTACACTTTCACTAGATTGATTATTTCTTACTTATGTTGCAGATGTGTCTCCTTGCCTGTTGACAGTAGCCTCATCTTCTATTGTGTTCTCTTCAGTAATTGATGTATTCTCACTTTGTTTGTTCCTTTTATTACCAATGTCCCCATCTTTTTTACTATCCCCTTGTTGCATCGATGTAGTATTACTTGTTCAACATTCATTTCCTGCTGATTAGTAAAAGCTCTCGATCAAGTCTGTATTGGATTCATTACTTTTTTGTTGATCATCTGCATTATTTGTCTAAAGAACTTGATTCTCTTTCTCAATATGTTGTTTGTCCATTTTCTGGTTATCTCCCTCCCTTGATTCAATCTGGTGTTCCTCATCAATATCTGTTAAAGCAACAAAGGCATTCCCACCGTAAGTTTTGCTGGAAGTACTAGCCTTGTCACTTATGCCAACACCTTTGTTCATTGTAAAAGCTCTATTTGTAGGTTCCAGTATCTTCTGACGATTCTTCTCCTCCCTTTTCTTATGTCCTCTTATTTATTCTTGTTCTTCATGTAGTATTTCATTACCCTTTGACTGCCCCTTTTCCTCACCATTATCGATCCTTAGCTCTGGATGTAAGTTTCCACATTCCTCCTCATCATGTCCTTGAACCTTATAATGTTTATAATATTTAGACAACAGTTCTTACCGAATCTTCACTTGCTCTATCCTTGACACCTTAGTATCTTCATTCATAATCTCATTTTCAACAAACTTTGGGAAATTCGACATAAGATGTACCAGAATTTTAACTCGTGCAGAACTTGATTTTGTTTTATTTATTGTGGCCATATCTAAATATAATGGCTTTCCAACTGCTGTTGCCAAAGATAATAGAGATTCCTTCACAAAAAGGTGGGTTTGAGATCCGGAAAGGATATCCAAGTCAAAGCCTGCATAGTTTCTTCTGCAACCAGAAATTTTTCATCATAAATAAGAGGCTTTGGGGAATATAAATATTCGTCCTTAGCCAATATGTATTATATTGGACATTACATTAATGAAGTTTTCTTCCTGATCAAGTCTGATGAGGACATGTCTATTGCATAATAGACCTATCTTACAATCTCATTTGATGTTGCATTGTTTTTGAATAAGCATCCTAAGTTCCTCCAGCTCCGGCCAATCATATGAAAATTTTCTAACTATTGCGTCTTGGAGATTCTCAATGATGTTCGTTCTCTTCACTTTACTCTTCGTCCATATCAATCAAGGAATTTCATTTGTATAAGTGATTGTCTTTATAGGAATTGGTTCTACTTTTTTTGTCGAACAGCTGAACGGTTCCCTAAGAACATTGACATAATTCACTTGGAACATATTACTGTTATTGCCAGGCAAAACAATAGCAGTAGGCTCAATAGGCAAATTAGGGTTCACAATATCAGTCTTAGTGCTTGTCGATAGTGGTGGAATATGAAGCTTCTTGTAGCAGCAACGACTGGTCAACCCCAAGACTAGGCTGACTAGTGGCCGGAATAGCCATTGTATTGATTTAAGGTCGAAAAAAGTCACTGGCGACGGTAAGGAGTATAGACAGTGTTTTTTCATAATCATTGTAAATGCAATGTATCATTTCCGTTTCTAAAAAAAAATTGCTACAACCTCTACTTGTTGAGGCATAAACTTATTATTTTGTATTGGATACACAATAGTTATTATTTATTTTTTTTAAAATTAGTTTAAAATAAAAATTGTATTTCAACAAAATTTAATAAAATAACTAAAATTGATGTCTTGTTGTTTTTTTAAAATAATCTAAAACAAAAGAATATTTCAAAAAAAATTAATAAAATAATTAAAACGGGTATCTTATTATTTTTTTAAATTAGTTAAAAAGAAAAATTATGTTTCAACAAAATTTAATAAAATAATAAAATGAGCATCTTATTATTTTCTAAAAAATTAGTTTAAAACAAAAATTGTATTTGAATAATATTTATTGAAAAATTATTAAAATTGGTGGAGTGACTTTCTAAATGAAATATTAATAGTTGTGACTTTATAGAGAAAATATTCATAGTTGAGTGACTATGAGATTATAAGTGAAAGTTGAGTGACTTTCAGGGAAAAGAATCATTATTTGAGTGATTTTCTACGAGAAAAATTCTTAGTTGAATAACTTTGAAGTTATAAAAGAAAGCTCAATGACTTTCTGTGAAAAGAATTATTAGTTGAGTGACCATATGAGGTATTAACTCCAAAATACTGCATACATCGTCAACAATACATGGTCAGATTTACATCCCGGAGATTAATTGGACCTTAATGTTACTATGCCTGGATGTTACTATTGGTTTTCGAGACACCAAACGGATGGGAAATGTTGCAGGTATGGATATGAGCTTATTTTAAAATGTCTATGTTGATTCAACTTCATTACTGACCCTCATCCCAAAATTTTCTCTTTGCATCAGGTTTGAGAATCATAACTGTCATACTGGTTACCACACTTTCTTGATTTCATTGGTAATTGTTTTATGTTGACACCAAAGTGTTTTCCTTGCAATTTTCTTTGTGAGCTTCTTTGGGTCAGTTGAGGCTTTATATTTCTCCACTTCTTTGATTAAATTTTTGGAAGGAGCTTGGGAAACAACAGCCATGGCAATAAGGTCTCTGTTGACAGGCTACTTCATCAGCTAGGCCCTAGTCTAGACATAGTAAGGGTCCGCGACAGAGGCAGACTCACCCCTCTAGCTGGGGTGCATGTGCACCCATTAAATTCGAAAAAAATCATGTATATATATGTATATCTATCTTGAGAAACTGACAGAAATTAGAATATAATTAATAGTGCACCCATAAAAAGCATAGAAGTGACATTGTGCTACTGATACAAGCTAGAGGATCCACCTATGAGACCTGGGTTCAAATCCAACTAAAGTGTTTATTTCACTGTTTTTGTTTTAAGTTTATCTTAGAGTTCATATTTGAGCTAAGATAATATGGGTGCACCCAAAGTTTTCAAATCCTGAATAATATACATGCAATTGCTTATCTATATTACCTTAAAAGTATGAACTCCTAACTTTAATGTTAAATTACTATAATATCTCTAACTTAGGTAATGACTTTTTTGATGAGTTGTGACTTTTTCGATAAGTTTTGACTTTTTTCAAAGGGTTGTGATTTTTCGATGAGTTGTGACTTTTCCCAAGATTTGTAACGTTTTCAATAAGTTGTGACTTTTTCAAAGGGTTGTGACTTCCTGAAAAGGTCATGACTTTTTCAGATAAGACACAAAAAAATATGTGTTCATACTACCCTTTGTTGACTATAAATAGAGGGGCTTCCTCTCATTTTTCAACCACAATATTTTTAATCTTCTACTCTTCTTCTTCTTGCATTTTGAAATTTCTTATGTGATTTATTGTCGTTGAGTGAGTTCGAAGTTTAGCGGATATGAGGTACCAATGTTTTGATGAAGTAAGTCGTTCTATCCTAAGAGAGTATATACCATAACCTCGAGTACTTGAGGAAAATAATTTTGATGATATAATAATTATTTTTTGCTTCATATATACATTAGTATGTAATGTTCCAATATATGATGTTAACATGATGTAGTCTAAATTCTTTTTTTTCCAACAATTTCTCTTGTGATGTAGACATATGTTTCTAAATATCTTTTCCAAAATTTAGAAAATTGTCACGATTTATTTTTGATGCTCAAGACAAAAGAACGACTTTATTTATCAATGCTACTTATGTGATTTAAACTCTCATGGAGTTTGATTCAAAATAGTAAGCCCTTTTGTTTTACTTATTTACTATTTCTTAATATTTTGGTATTTTAGACGAAGAAAAGTTCATATGACTTGTAATAACACCAGTTGAAGTTTGTATTAGTTTAATTTTTATTATTGATTTAATAGTTAATTTATGAGATAAATATTTTTATTAATGCAAATATATATTTATATTTGGGTAGATATTTGTACTTAAACTAAAGTATTATATATGTCACAAATGTATTATCAAGTTAACAAAATCTTCTAACTTCAAAATATATTATTTTAAAATGTTCCGCATTTTTTTTAATCAAAAACTCAGAACCAATGTGAAAATATGTGAATATATAAAATGTAGTTGTTCTCTTCACATGTCCATATGACATCTAAAGAATTTAACATGGAATACACATGCAAAGCAAATCTGGTTACATGACAAGAAAAATACAAAGCAAATATTGTCTATAAGGTAATATTAGTGAGATAAGACTAATTAGATGATTTACCTCATCAAATTGAAATAAATGTATACATTATTGCATTTAACTAATAAATTTTTTCTTTGACCATCTTCACAGGTCAGCGTGAATAAGAAATATATATGACGATCCACGTTAAACATTCACAAAAGAATCTTCAATATTATTTTTTGCTAAGCTTATTATTCAAATCTTCGCTTAAATAAGCAAATACTATTTACTATGTCATATATTTTTGGAATTGGTAATCACGTGCAACGCACGTGTCAAAAAACTAGTTTGTATATATGCATCAATTGCCTATATACAAAAAGTTGTCAATTGCCTTTATACGAATAGTTATCTACCATTTATCAATTGTATATCTTATACGATTGAATCTGTTAATGATATTTACATACATTTTAATTTGAATATCAGATGATATATGTGATTGTACTTTTTAGAAATAATATACAATTGTTTATTTGTATATATGCATCAGTTGCATATACACTAATAGTTCTCTAGCATTTATCGTTTGTATATTTTTATACATATAAGATTCCGTACTTTTTTCTTTATTCTTGCATAATATATGTGGCGTAGTATGGCATGGTTATATGAGGTGTATATGACTTGGTATCATACATTGGAGATTAAGATTGCAAATGGTTGGCAATATAAAGGAACTAAACTAAAGTTTTAGGTCAAAGGGACCCCTCAAACAAAAGTTCAGGATTAAAAGAAATGGCTCGGGTAGAACTTCGCCCGTTTGAAAGGTTTAAATTATCTCATACCTTGGGGATAAGCCTATGAGTGTCTAACATGCTAAGAATAATGTGTTATGAGGTATTATAATAGCATAAGGGTCGTATGTTAAGTTTTTAAGTCAAGAAAATTAACGCAACTAAGGTCGGCACAACTTATCGAAGTTTCTCTAATAACATTTTCTTAACTTTGGGTCAAATGTCTTTGATGTTTTCTCCCAATATATAGAGAGTTAGAAGGCCCATGACCTATCCAATCGAAGGTCTACGAGTCTAGGTTGCAACGCACAACACCCCATATCCAACCGATATTGGAGTAAAACATTATTAGGGTTTGACTGCGGATTGCTGGGGCAGAATCCAGGTCGGGTCAAAAATATGGTATGTCGGCTTACTCGACATTTTAAGCCATGAAAACATTTCGTTTTACTCCCTAACCAGAAAGAAAGATGAAGAGAGTGTTCTATGGAGTTCTTGCATGATGAAGGCTTGTTTTTTATGATTTCTACCATTAAAGGTTGTCCCGGTGCCTAGAAACATGATCTCTACACGTGGCAATCGTTCTCCCTTCTATTAGCTGCATTTGGAGTTAGTTTTTGAAGATATAAATTGGTAGTTATTGGTTTTTCTTCAAGTTTTACACTTGGTTTGCTAAGGTAATCATCTCGGTACTCTTTTATAATTGTTTTTATGAAGTTCTATAGGCATTTCGTCAAGTTGGGACCATATGACAAATCTGCCAATTTAAGCTCAAATATGAATTGTTTATAGGTGCGTACCAGCTGTGTATATATAGTGTTTGTGAAGCTTAGGACGTAAGGAACAAATTTCATGAAGAAACTACGGGCATTCGAGCGTTCATTGGAATGGTATGTTAAGGCTAACCTTTGTCCTTCATTTTAGCACCACTCCTGGGAAATTCCTAAAACGCCGAATGTGATATTTTTCTATTCTCTTGCTAGAAAGACCTTCTGTGAAAGGCATTGAGATCTCAGCAGAATTATTTTCATGATTCTATTATTTTGATATTCCACTCGTTCGGATAAATAGAGTATTTGACATGTACATGTCATTTTATCGGTTTCCTTGATTGTATGTACGCATGTATGAATTCCTATTCTTCTTTTTAAAATATTACGGGAGACCCTTATTATTTGTA